TAAACGACTAATTTCTAGTAATTGAAAATGATTAAAATTTTTTTCTTGTGAAAATTCATAGTAATATATAGAAATGATTTTTCACAATTCCTATCTTCATCGATATGAAATATGTATATATCATTTATGAGTAGTTAAAACAAAAACAAAAAAAAGTCTATTGGCTCGATCTGTAACATAGAAATATTCAATTATTTCTTGACTGTGTAACTTTTGCGCTACGCTGTATATTATAGATCATATAATCAATAAATTCTTCATAAATATCAAAAATGTTTCACCGATACTAACTATACATTGATACGGCAGGTGGATGAGAATATTCATATTGATCAATTAATTTTTGTGCTTCTTCAAAAAATGATCCACGACTAAAGCAATCAATCTAAAGAAATAGAAAAAATGAAAATTTGAAAAAACAAAAAGAAAATTTTTTAGTATATACCATTGCACCATAAATATTTTCTGTTTTATTTTCAATACTTTGAAAGATGGAACGAGCTTCATCAATTAATCCTGAATGTGAGCAAGCGTTTAAAGTACAAACATTAGTTATTTCATCAATAAAATCTTTCGGCATATGATGATAAAGTTGAATTGCTTCAGTAGCTTTTCCATTTAAACCATAACAATGAACTAAAATAATTTAATAGATTACAAAAAAAGATTTATTTCAAAGAAAAAATAAATAAAACTGACTCATTGAATTATACATTGCTTGATCTGGTTGAAGATTTTTCTCAAACATATCTTTTGCTTTATCAACATATCCAGTTTTACCCTAAAATCATATTTTAAACAAAAAATTATAAAAATACTACAGGAATCAATTGAATTCTTTCTTCCCTCCATCCTTCCTTTGTTGTTATTTTTTTTTTGTTTTAATTATTATATGTCTTTTATTTTTTAACCTACTATATATAGAGACATTGTCAAAAACGTACCGCATTATGTGATATATTTACGTTAACTTTTAAAAAAAGGTTAAAAATGTATGAGAAGAACAACAGTAGAATTTTTTTTTTCATTCGAATATCTATTGGTAATTAAATAAACTTCATTTTTTTTTTGTTATTTTTATGATATTAAGTGTAAAGTTTATGATCATATTTGATATTACAACATTTAGCTAATTCTTTAAATTCATAATGAAAAAATTTTAGACAATGTTCTTGAAACATTTTGTACTCTAGATGACTTTTGTATTTATCGTATATACGAATGACAATAAGTATACAAAAGAGAAATGAAAATCAAAATGTACAATAAAAAATAATTGAATATATAACAAATTAAGGATTCATTTTAGAAACTTAATTGTATTTAATTTTAATGTGCATGTTTGAGTGTACAAGAGATTTGTAACTTGCCGAATTTTCTCACTTTGTCTCGTCTTGTAATGAGATGAGTCTAAATTTTTGGAAGCATATCAAAGACAAGTCAGTAAAATACTTTACAAGTTATTCGCCTATTCACCATATAGATTTTTTGCATAAATATTATGATAGTTTAAAGAAAAAAATTAACAATAATAAGAAAATAAAATAAATAATGAGATGACATAAAGTAATTATGATATTTATAAATCTAACAGATAGAATAGATGATAAATCACGAAATAATTTATAATATATTTTCTATAAAACATATACAAACTTAATTGAAATTTAAGATTTTTCTCAAACATTTGATGAATGTATCGATTATCATCATCTATTCATTGTTTAATATTCATATAAATGAAAGATATTCATTTTCTTTTTCTAACATATATATTTTAATTTACTGTATTAATAAAGTTATTAATTTATAACAATTAATTCTAATTTCACTATTGATTTTTTTTTTTTAAACTATTTATATAAATGATCAACAGGTACAATTTATTAGCTAAGTAAAATTGATATCCGTTCAGTAAATAAATAAATCGCTAACATAAGTGAAAATATTGAACGTTAATTTAAATAAATAAATTAAAATTGTTAAGTAAAAATAATTATTACTAAGTTATTTCTGATAAAGATTAAGTATGATTCTCTAACGTAATATGATAATTTTTATGATAGTATGGTCTATATTTTTTTCTTTCATTCTTTTTATAGAGTCATCTATAGAGGATGTCCAGATAAAAATCGAATTTTCGGACCTCTTTCTCTTGTTCCCTGTCCAGTTTTGTCATAATAAATCTCAATTATATGCAATAAGAGTATCGGAGCCAACTTCACTTTCACTCTCAAACTCGTTTCTTTCGTATCAAAATTAATGTCAAAAAAAAAAGTACAATGTAATCATACATAGCAATGTCATATTCAAACTGTTGTTATCAGTAGGTGATGGATGATGAGAATTAGCTTGCAAGAATTATTAACTAATATATAAATTAAACGTGTATCGTTGCTAAACGCGTAGTTTTACAACCATAAAAACATCTACTATTATCATGATAAGTAGAAGTAGTAGTAGCAACAGTAAGTATGACACCCTTAGTCATAGATAGAAAGCCTCTTGTCTTCAAGTAGACAGGAAGGTTGTGTTACTACTTTATTGGGTTAAGTGTATTCAAATGTAAGATTACTGAATGAATAAAAGGTTACAAATATGTTGCTATAGATTCATTTGGTCCGATGTGTTTCTTGCATTACTCATTAACTTATCCTATTCTTTGCTGTTCTTTGTTACTCTGTCTTGGATATTTTCCCATAATAACAAGAAAATAAACTGCCTTGATGTCAAAATATATTCGATACACGTCTAATTAGATTAAGTGTCTAAAATTATCAAAATTAATAACCCTAGTGCACTATCTTGGGATATGCGCATGAAATACATGAGTATTTAGAGCAAGAATGTCATGTACTATGAAGAAATCTTGAGAGCTACGCAGTTCATGTGCATAAGAAAAAGAATTCTACGTAGAACAGGTAATTTCGAGTACTAATCGCTTTCCAGATCGAATATTTTTTTTTCTAGCAATACGTTCGAATTTTGAAATTGTATCTAGTGCTTGTAATCATCATATTAATGAATTCTTTCTCTCATGCACGTGCCTTTCGTGAGATTCTTGAATAAGAAAATAACGCGCTATGGATAAATATTGACGTCTGCACAGATCAAGCATAGGAAGAAAAAAAAACCAGTTCGTCTAGGAAATAATATTCGTCAATAGTTAAATGCAGCTTATCTAGTCATGGGACAAAACCGTGGAGCGCTAAGACTGAGTTCTATAAGATTTTTCAGGACTAGAGTGAGGATTATAGAGTCTAAATATGAATTTCGAGAATACAATTTGTTAATATGAAAATTTCAGAAATTTATAAGATTTTCAAGATATCTGTGAGATATCTCGGAATCTGGAATCCGTCGTTTCTTCCTTAGCAGTAACTGTAGTCCTTACTAAATACTTTTGTCCGTTGTTTTGCCTTTTCAATAATACATCAAAAGATGCAGAATTTCATGCACTATCAGAACATATAACTTCCTTTCTGAAACTTGTTTATATAGTTGAAATAATTTTAAAAAAGACAAATAGAAAAAGAACCAAAGATACAATTCGAAGAAATCTGACGACAAATTTATCTTTTGTGTGGTTACAATTTTTTTCAATGAACAAATGTAATCTCAGACATTAATATGTAGAGTTGCAGAGAATTTGATGGGCTATCAATATATTTTTTGTTGTTTTGGTAATTCATAGAAAATTTTCTCTTTTTTTGAATATTATATTTAATAAATTTGTAAATAAAATGAAACGGAAAAGGTCGAGAATGACATTTGTAGAATATATTTATAATGTACATATGAACTCATCAAAAATATTTTATTCTTATTGGACAACAATTAATTTGATTTTTGTAGACTCATTTAAAATATCTTGGTGAATCAGTAATCGAGGCTATCCCAACTCCTCAAAGTTTGGGAGATTGTAAAAAGATTTGTCTGATGTAACGTATCTAAAATAACAACAGGTTTTTACTTGCTTGTTCTGTATATCATTACAGATCTGTTAATAATATTGCATAAAGGAACTACATATGAAAACAGAAAATATACATATTGGGATATAATGATGAAAAAGTAGACCAATAGAAAAAGGTTGTGCAGAGAAGTTACCAACTAATCAAGATTAACAGATAGAATCACGTTTTCTACAGTAGAGTTTGTTTTATTGTTTCTCGCTATGTTCCATGCAATATGTTCAATCCATAAGGCTTCATAGAAGAAAAATAAAAAGATTTTATTTTACAACGTTTCGAAGAAGAAAATTGACTTAATACTAAATTCCGATAAGTTTATTAATACTTGTGACGTCGAAGACGTTCGAACTAGCAACTATTGATGAAAACCATCCTTTTATGGAAGTACAAAGAGTAAACATTTTTCAGAAAAAAAAACTTTTAAGCTATCAAAACTGACTACATTCGTGCACCTGATACTATTTCGTGAAGGAGAAATTTTTAACTGACTAATCAGAAATTTTTTATTATTTTGCATCGCTTTTGACTCTCCTTCAGATGACACGTACTCTGTCCGTTGATGAAGTGGATACTACATTGTGAGTAAGTGATAATTTATGCATAATCAGAAGAAGTATCTTGTTTCTTCTTGAAAACTAAAAGATCGTTGAAGACAAGCTATGATATCTATTAACAAATTTTGCCGCCAAAGACAGCTACCGATCAGTAACAAAGCAGTTTACGCATAAAATATATGTCAATGTGTTTTCCATACTAAAGATCAGATATTTTTATGTCGTCTACAGCTATACAGTCGTTAATTATTCGCCAAGTAAAAGTCTTTTGATTTTTATTTATAGTTTATTCAGAAAAAACATGATTTAATTCTGTATTTTAGAAAAAAGTATTGTAAAATTCCTATGTGTGTTTGTTTTTAAAGTTATTAACTGTAAAGATAGACAAACTTTCAATTATTAGAGGATTATCACCCTTCGTCAGTCGGATGAGCCCTGCCGGTGAATACTTTAACTTTTATGAAATGATTAAAAAATCATATAAAATGAAAGTTAATAATAAATTGTCATTTTGTTAATAAGATTTTTTTGATTTGATGAGTTCATATATACATTATAAATATATATTCTACAAATGTCTTTCTCGATTTTTTTTCCGGTTTCATTTTTATTTACAAATTTGTTAAACATAATATTCAAAAAAAGAGAAAATTTTCTATGAATTATTAAAATAATAAAAAAAAAATTTTTTTTCCAAATCTATTCATTGAAGAGATTTAACGTTAAATATTCTATAGAAGTTTTTATTTTGAAAGAGTATCTATTCTTTTTCATGATAAATCTCTTTTATATTTCATCATTTTCCATGTTGAATCTTTTATACAAAATAAATTAAACTAATTAAAATGAAATAATGAAATTCAATTAATTTCGATAGTAGTATACATTTTCAAAACATACCCACATATCAATTAATGCTGTTTTAATTTGATTATCATGAAGAAAAGAATCAGGAATTTGTTTAATCATTGATATAGATAAAGAATAATCACCAATTCTTGATAAAGCTTTAATAAGACAAAGATAAATAATAATATTTGCTTGAATACCATCATTTTTCATTTTATTAAATAAATCTAATGTTTTTTCAGGATTATTTTCCTTATTAAATCCACTCATTAAATTTCCATAATTTTCAATAGATTTATTCATTTTTAAAAAAAGAATTTCTCCATTTGAACTATCACCACATTTTATATATGCATCTAATAAAGCATTTAGAAGACGAGAGTTTAAATAATAAGATTTTGGCATTTTTTTTAATGTTTCTTTTACTAAATTTAATGCTTCTTGAGTTCTTAATTGAGCACAAGCATTAAAAAAAAAACAATTAAATTTACTTCACTTGGATTTTCAATTTGTTTAAAAAGATTAATTGCCTTTTCTGGACAATTATTTTTTGTATAACCTTCAAAAAAACAAAAAAAAATATTTTTCTTGAATCTAATACGTTTTATAATTAAAATCAACGATTACCTTTTATCATTGCCCCATACATAGAGAATACTTTATTTGTTGATGAATTAAATATTGATTCAGCATGTTTAATATCGCCACATTTCATTAATGCATCTAATACAGAAGATAATATATACGAATTTGAATAAAATGATTTTGGCATTTTTTCTAAAGTTTTTTTTGTTAAATCTAAACTTTCACTTGTTCCTAATGTAGCACAAGCATTGAAAAAAAGATTGAAAACAACTTCACTAGGATTTTTCACTTGTTTAAAAAGTTCAATTGCTTTTTCAGGATCATTATTTTCTATATAACCTAAACAAAAAAAAAAAAAAGAAAAAGATTTTATTTGAGAGACTATTCATGAGAATAACAACATAATAGTTAATATTTTAGATTTTTAAAATTTTAATCTAGATCTGGCTTCCAATTAAATATTTTCGAAATTATAGGATTTCGTTTTCTGAATTATGCGATTGTTTTCGCTAAAAAAAAAGTAAAAAATTGACCACAATTTAGGTATTGTACGCCGAACCGCACCTCAAATGTATATGCTTTAGTTGCCAGAAATAGCTATTCACATGACCCGGTTTTCTCGTAAAAAGTGATGACCGGGGGCGGGGGGGGGGGGGGGGGGGCGGCGCGAAGATCCCTGTACTCCCCTTCAGGAAAAAGTCAGGTCTCGTAGAATTTTTCCACTTTTTTGAGAAAATATTATAGGATTTTTCAAAAAAATAGGAATTATAGGATGAATCGGAGCCCAGATCTAGATTCAAAAATCATAAAATCTAAATTTCAAAATGTATTTCAATGTTCTATAATCAATTTAATTCATACTAACTTCTAATAACTGTTAAGTTATTGTAAAAAAAAACAAAAAACATAGAAAAATATTCTTATATAATTGTTTAATGAGGTTATGATTTAATAAGTCAAATATTTTTTGTTTGTTATTTATTCAATAAATTAGAATATAGAAGATTAATTACTTAAAAAAAAATTATATATATAATATATTCTATGAACTTTTGTAGTTGAATGTAAAATATTAATTTTACAATTTGTAAGTTTGAAATTTTCAAGTTTTAACTAAACATTATTTAATAATTTTTGAAATTAAATCAATAATATATCAATATTATTTTTATTATATAATTTCTTAATTCTATATCGTTTACAGATATAGTTATCATATGTTTTAATAAGCTACGTATATAAAAAATCAGTGTGAACATTAGATAAATAATATTCTTTTTGAAAGAATAATCACTAAAAATGGATTAAAACTGGTATTTCATGATTAAATTTAAGAAAAAAAAAATCTATTAAAATTGATATTTTTCTTTGAAATCATTATGATTGTTTGAAAATATAATTGATTTAAGGTATTTTCGTAAAAAATCGATCTTAGTCCAAATACATGTAAATGGCATGAAATTTTCATGATATGCTAAGTCTGTAGTATAGAAACTATAGTAAAAGTTTCAGCTCTGTACCATGATGTTTGAGAAAAATATTCATCAAACAAGGATCAAACATAATTCATTTAATAAACAAAAATTCTCTGCCGAAATTCATTCTATATATTTATACTTTTTGTTTTGTTTGAAAGATTATCATATCAAGAAGAAATGAGTCAAAAATAGATGTCTAATTATATAAGTGTCTCTCTGTATATAATTAGATAGTATTCGAATTTCGCTCGAATATGAAATGTGGTACAAAGCAAAAACTCGAATATCGAGAAAATACTGTTTGGCATATCAAAAAAATAATCATTTTTTGACTATATAATAAGTCGATTTTCACTGTAATATTTTTCTCAGATATAGTATCGCTTTGTTTTTTGTTTTTTATGTTAAAACTTATGCTTTCTATCAATCAACTGATTCAACTTCTTGATATTGTTGGTAGAAATTATTCACTTCGAAAAATTCATTCATAAACATCGATGTACTTGTAATTTTTGCTATGATTTTGAGTAATCAAGAGTAATCAGAGAGAATTAAGAAATATATTTAGTATATGATTTCGAAGAATATTAATTGAATTTTTTTGACTATTTACATTTTACTGTTATACTAAAATTGAAACATATGAATACAGATGCTCATAAGATAATAATAAATAGTTTTGTTAAGAAATTCTCTTAAAAAATTTTATATCTTTTGTTATTCTATATTATTAATCAGATGAGTTATGATGAACTTCGATATTTATATCTCAATTTAATATTTTGAAAAGTGCTTATATTGAATGATATGTATACAATTTAATTATAAATGATGATTGCTATTAACTCGACAATGAAATTTTCATTTTCTACAAAATATCGTTTTTATGAAAACTCAAGAGATTTTTGTTTTGCATCATATTTTGTATTCGAATCGACACTCGTATACCACATAGTTCTTTTACTTCCTTTTTATATATACATCGAAACTTGTCATTTTATAACTCGATGATTCTCAATAATTAAAACTCAGAAAATAGTCATTGATACTTAAGATTCAAGTATCTATATCGATATCAAACAACTAGGAATAGATCTGACGATAGACAATGAATCATGAACATAATTAAACTATCAATTGAAAATGTTCTTTAAAGTAATGTCGATATATGCATTTATAGAGTTTTCGTAGTGATTGATTTTTATCATGGCTTTTTTTTCAACTTGATCTTAAGTTTGATCAACTGATTGATGGAGATATAACATTTTCGATTAACAACACTCGAGAGAAATATTTTAACTCGGTAGGACGTATACAACTTTACTGAAGACGCAAATGAACATTAATCTGAGAATCGGTTTTTATTTTTTTATCATATATTGTTTCCCCAAAATATCGAGATTCGTGCTTCATATCACATTTCGTAGTTGAGAGAAACTCGCATACCATCTAGTAGTTATCATAAAACAAAATTCTTTCAAATTTGCCATTTTCAGAGTCTATTTATATTGAGAACGAAATATTTTCTAGATAAGATCACATTAAAAGATATCCGTTTGATGTCGATACTTTAACTTCGTGTCCGAACGACATGTTTCGCAATTTCCCTTCTCAATATTATCAGGTTAGAACATAATAGGTTGTGATGCATACATCGAGAATGTCTTGCCAATAAAAAAAACATCACTAAACAAGCTTTGTTTCTTTTGACAAAATCTCTATTAAAAATAGATTTTTTAGTCCTGTTTCATTCGGAAAATAAACTTTTTTTTTCAATTTTTCCTTTAAATAGTTTGCAAATAATAAAAATAATATTGATATTTTATTGATTTAATTTCAAAAAAATTAATAATTAATGTTTAGTCAAAATTCGAACATTTTGAACTTATAATTTATAATTTATATTCAAGTACAAAAGCTCATAGAGTATATTATATATAATTATTTAATTAGATAACATTTTTTTAAGTAATCAATCTTCTATCTTATTTCATTAGGTTTTTCTTTTTTACAATAACTTAACAGTAATTAGAAGTTAGTATTAATTAAATTGATTATAGAACATTGAAATACATTTAAAATTTAGATATTATTATTTTTGAATCTGGATTAAAATTTGAAATATTGACTATGACGTTGATTTTTTTGGTCAACTTGTAGATGCTCTTTTAATACATTTTATAATTAAAATCAATAGTTACCTTTCATCATTGCTCCATACATAGATAGATCTTTATTTGTTGATGAATTAAATACTGATTCAGCATATTTAACATCACCACATTTCATTAATGCATCTAATACAGAAGATAATATATACGAATTTGAATACAATGATTTTGACATTTTTTCTAAAGTTTTTTTTGTTAAATCTAAAGCTTCACTTGTTCCTAATGCAGCACAAGCATTGAAAACAAATATTATAATAACTTTATCAGGATTTTCAATTTTATTGAACAGATCAATTGCTTTCATAGGTATATTATTTTTTATATAACCTATATAATGATGTCGAATTAGATATATGTTTCAATATAATTATTCTTACCTTTCATCATTGCTCCATATATTGACAAAGTTTTTTTTTTCGTTTTGTTGAATAATAATTCAGCATTTCTCACATCACCACATTGCACTAATAGAAATATTAACTTAGAACAAAAAAAAACAATGACGATTGAATATTATGAACGCTTTTATTATTCTATTATTTATTTTGTTTTATTTCAAATTTTATGAAAAAATCGTTTTCGAGAAACTAAAAACGTAAAAAGATTTCTTTTAAGTATGGCTAAACTTTTCATATTTAAATTAAATCTATAGGAATTTATTTACGACATATTAGCATGTGTTTTGTTTTTTATATAAAAAAAACGAACTAATTGAAAGTAGTTTTAATTAAATATTGATTATATTGTTTATTTTTGGCAAAAATTTTGAATTGATTAACATAATATTATTGATAAAGAATAAAGTTTTCTTTTCTCTTATCTTTTTAAATGTTTCTATGAAGATTTTAATAATTGAAATAGTTTCTAAAATCTTTCAAAGTGATATCTAGTTAGAAAACATTTTCTTGAAATTCAATGTTTAAAAAATTTTTCATCGATTTAATTTTAATGTATAGGTTTTTGCTCAAAATTAATTTTATATTTGAAATTAACATAGCAAAAAAAAACAATTCGTATCAATTGATTTCTATATATTTCAAGAGTATACCAAACAATTTTTCTTTTTTGTTTTTTTGAAAAAAATAATTTTCTTACAATGTCATTCATATTAGATTCATTAAATAAATTCAGTGAAAAAACAAATTGTGAACTATGAAAAAATCCAGAAGATAGAATAGAATAAATAACTGAACAATGAAATTAGTTTTAGTTTTCGATGAATTTATTTAACGGATCTAAGATGAATATCATTGTAAGAAAAAATGTTTTTCTTTTGATAAAAGAAAAGTTGTTTGGTATACTCTTGAAATATATAACTAGGTGTGTCGAACTTCACAAAGAAAAAGTTGAATATTTCTATTATGGCTCGATCGAACGGGCTCATTTTTTTTATTAAGGATAGAGGCATGTTTACACTTCAAATCCATACGGACAAGTTTAGTGAGAACCTTTGCTAAGTATCACTATTGATTTCAACAAGAAAATTTTACTTGTTGACAGATAGGAAAAGAAAAGAATATACCTACCATAGGTTCTCACTAATCTCATCCGTATGGATTTCAGAGATGTCCATCGCGGCTGAAAATCTGCCGCTGCCGCACCGCTGCCGCGCCGCGACGGTTGATAAAAAAATGTTGCCGCGACGCTGCCGCACCGCGATGACTTATAAAAGAAACGCTGCCGCGATGAATTATAAAATAAACGTGCCGCTACCGCGCCGCTGCCGCGACGGTTTTCAAAAAAGTGTTTCTAATTTCACTGCTGTGACTATATTTGACCAGAGATATGGGTACTAGTCCATCAGATTTATTCAATATCAGGGCGTTTCATTTGTAAATCCTGAAATTCTATTAAATTCATACAGTTTTCCAATGTCCTCCAAAAAAAATCCTGCCACTGTCGCGATGGTTTTTTAAAAACCTGCCGCTACCGTGCCGCTGCCGCGATGACTTTTTAAAAAACCTGCCGCTGCCGCGCCGCCACCGCCATCGCGGCAGCGGCAGCGCCGCGATGGACATCTCTGATGGATGTGAAGTGTTAACATGCCTCTATCTTTAGTAAAAGAAAAATCAGCTCGCTTGCTCGAGCTGTAATGGAGATATTCAACTTTTTCTTTGTAGAATTACTTACTAGACACCTTATATAGAAATCGATTGATATGAATTCTGTTTTTGCTGTGTTAATTTCAAATATAAAATTAATTTTGAGCAAAAAACCTATACATTGAAGTTAAATCGATGAAAAAAACATTACTCTTTATCAATAATATTATTTTAATCCATTCAAAACCTTTGCGAAAAATAAACAATATAATCAATGTTTAATTAAAACTATTTTCAATTAGTTCGTTTCTTTTTAAATAGAAAACGAAATGCATACTAATATGTCATAAATAAATTCATATAGATTTAATATAAATATGAATAGAAAAGTTTAGCAATACTTAAGAAATCTTTTTATGCTTTTTGTTTCTCGAAAACGATTTTTTCATAAAATTTGAAATAAAACAAAATAAATAATCGAATAATAAAAGCATTCATTATATTCATTCATCATTTTTTTTTCTTTTGATACTTACTATAAAAATGAATTAATGAGGTCAATATGTGAAAATCATGTTGAATACGAGATGAAATAAGATGATGAATATCTGAACCACGTTGAAAATCTTTTATATGAGTACATGCTTTTAAAGCTTGAGTAATGACTAAACTTGAATACGTTTCAATATTGTTTTTCATATGTTTATCAAATAATTCAAGTGCTTTTTTGAATTGTTTTTTATCATTACATGATTTCATTTCATTACCCAAATCAAAATTAGATTGAATAGTTGATAAGTATTTTATAAAAACTTTCATAGATGTTACACGATAGTTTATTAATTTGATTGATATAAAATGATTCATTTTAAATGTTCAAATCAATTTAAAAAAAAAAAAAAGAAAGAATCTACAAATAAGAAGAAATCCAAATTTAGTCAAATTGTTTAGTTCATTGAATTTAAAATTTAAAATTAATTGAAATTAACTCAATGAAATTATACATTATTGTCATTAGTCTTTACAGAACTTAAAATAATATAAAGCTAACTTCAATCTAATTAATTTTTTTCATCACAAATAGAAACAAAGACAGAAAAATTAAGTATATTATCCGAAATGTTCATCTATCTTATTGTTTGTCGTGTTCTGTAAGATTTCAGCTTAAGTTTTTTTTAAGATTTAATATTTCTGTTGATTGAAATTTTTTGAATTAAATTACATATTTAATCAATTTAGAGAAAATCCAAGTTTGAAGATTAATTTTTTTTTTTTGCTTTCTCTGATCTTTTCAAATAATTTCTGTTTAAAAAATATAACAGAACAATAACCGTTTTAAGATGATTTAATTACACTAACAATCTTTTTTATTTCGTTTTTAACGTCTTTTTTTAAATATCTGTATTGAGAACTTTATAATACTGAAATATAAATAAAGTTAAGATCGTATCGAAATATTTTTTTTTTTCAAATTTATTTCAAAACTTTTATTGAATCGCTAATCTCTTTTTTTGTTCAGATGCAAAATTTTATTGTTTATCAAAAACAACGAATTAAAATAGAGTTTATTAGATAAAAAGGATTTTGATGATGATCAACATGTGTTTCTCATGTATATCCTCATGAATTGTTTCGTCTTTTCATACGAATTTGATTAAGAGACTATAAGAATATAATGTGTAGATCTAAGTGGTGACCGATATATTTGTAGTATCTATAAACATCAATAGATTTAAGTGGAGCAAAAAACAAATCATCAATTTAATTAATAGTCTCGCAATCATTTTTAAAACGTCTAAAAATATTCTTTTTCATTGGTATTATAATAGAGTCTTATGTCGTTATCAAAAAACAAAAGAGCTTAAAAGAAATGGTTAACAAGTTTGTTTTTCTTATTTACTAATATGTTTCAAAATTCTAAAAATACTTGAGAAAACTTATTTTTTCATAAGAATTCTATAGTGAATAGAAAATCTAACTAATCACTTTTGTTTTTATAGATTTATTCACAAAATATTTAACTTATTATGTGTAAAAGAAAAAAAAATGATAAAATCTATAGAAATTTAATTTGTAGCCAAAAAGGAAAAAAAATCAATGAAAATATTTGCTTTATCTTTTATTAAATAATTTTTGAACATTCGAATAAATAAAATATAATTATGATATAATACTATTATTATTATATATGAAATAACATTAAAGAAAATTGAAAAGTTGTTTCTTTTTTTTTCTTTCTTTCTTGTTATTGAAACAATTAATATATTGATATATATCTTATTTATTCAAGAATATTTCTAATTTTTCTTGTCAATGAATGAGAATAATAAAAATATATAATTGATATAAAATTCATTGAAATACTCTTTGAAATATATTCAAACTTTATAGTGAACGATTATTTATCAAACAACTTTATTCAGTAAATGAACTTATATAAATGAAAAAAAACGAAAATTTTCTCTATATTGATAATTCTATATATTTTACAAATATAAAAGAGATCTGATGGATTTTTTCATTCATAAATACAAATTTTCTTCATAAATTGATGTTCTAACAGTCTTGACAAAGATGTTAACACTTCATTTTATTATATGCTACTTATAAACATTATTTTTTTCATAAAATAAATCTTTAAAAATTCTAATTTAAAACTCTTTTTAGTATAGTTTTAGCTATTCTTCGAGTTCAGATGTAAATTGTGAGTATCCAATCACACATTTGATAGAAAACTCTAGCTAGTATATCCAGAGAAACTTCCATGTTGTGACATTCGAATATTATTATTTGCAACAACATCATCTCATTGAATCGTTATTCGGTATTTTTCAATAGAAAAACTTAAATATATAAAATATTCTTTTCTATTATAATAGTGAAAAAAAATCGTATCAAATAAATTTATTTCTGATTCATCTAATTCGGATTTTAATGAATCTTCAAGTCAAAAACTATTTATTAAATCTCCTATAAACTTCTTCAAATCTTTGTTATCATTTAAATATTTTCAAAAATATATCCAATCTTTACAATCATTAAACTTGACACTATCGAACAGAAGTCCAAACAGGCGTACTTCTTGAAGGCCTAGCCTGCCTGGCTAGACCTGTGTATTTTTTTTCACGTTAATATCATGATAAAAATACCATAGAAAGAAGTAGTAATTTTCATAAAAAAGTCGTATTAGTCACTGAATTCAATCTGCATCACTACATTGAAAAGTCCATTAGAATTGTCAGCTTTCCAATTAAACAAAGGTATCATGCTTCTTTGTAATTGAGAGCATGTGAAACTAAGGGTAGAACAAAGACTGTTAATTTCCAAAGGTAGATTCTAGTCAGCCGGAGTATTAAAAAAAGCATAGTTTTCAGTTCACTTAAAAAACGTTTTCTCTGATGAACGATCGATTTCTAGTCAAAATCGCTCGGCGAAAGGTGGCATCTTTCTGAATAAGCAAATAACTTCATTAAAGAGACAGCTACAAATGCCTACCTGTAAAAACTGCGGACACACTTTCAGGTAAAAAAAACAATTCATGTAAAAGTCAGAAAAGATTCATTTTAAATGACTAAAATCATTATTCTTTTATCGATTGTCAATTGGTAGCGAATCGATTACAATAAAAATAAATCAAAGTCAATTCATTATCGATTCCTAATTTAGTAAAAATGTATGATGTTATTGAACCTAGAATCAACTTTTTTATATCACTTTCTTTATAAAGACTAGATCTACATTCGTCACAGCATCAGAAAATTTAATTTCATATATGCTTATACTTTTGTCACCGCTTAGCAAAAAGTTAAGGAATACTACACCGTACTTCCGAAAGCTGGTAGCTTCGGAGACCTTGAATATTTTTCGTGTAGCTTTTTCTTGTCATACTATAGAATGTTTGAAGAGAATTTTACGGTATATATATTTTTCAACATGAACTTAGATGAAAATGAATAACATTATATAAATAGTAAAATTTCTCATAGAAAGCTATTTATGTCTTCTGAATCATCCGATTTTTAATTTTCTAAAGGCCTTGTATAAGTAAAAGTGAAAGTAAATATGGCTGTCTGTATCTAAAAGAAAGGCTATCCTTCAACTGAATCATAAAACGCGTGACGCAGTAGGGATGTATAAATAATATCAATTTCGAATTCTATTCGTTTTCAGAGTTGGTGATGTTTGTGGGTACTGACAATTTCACAGGTACCCACATACGTTGAAAAGTTTCATTACTAATTAAGAGTTTACGAACTGAACATTGATGATACGTAGACAAAATAAAAACAATGCTAAGATAGTCAACTTGTAGAAAATATCTGGTTTTTGTTCAAAAATATTTTCATTGAATTTCTCATGCCAGATCACAATGTCACTCAAAGTATTGGGATCAAGAAAGAAACAAAATTCAATAAGTGGTAAATCTGCAACAGAAAAAAGGATTTAGAATCAATTAATTTAACTAAAATTGAGAAACATAACAAGTAGATAATGATAACTATGAAAATTTGTGCTTATCATCTCTTCAGCATAGTAAGGGTATTGATTTCCTATAAATATCTTTAATGCTCATTCCGCAGTATTTGTCTGATTCATCGCGCTTACATGTGACTTTTTGAAAACTAATGAACGTTGTATCTATTTGCCAACAAAATCATGAAATTCTCAGATGAAACTTCGATTTCGAAGAAAAAGTAGACAGGCCTCGTGGCCTATTTGGACCTCTGCTATCGAACTATATAGACTTCTACCGGAACGATGACAAAAATTTTTCTTTTTAATTCATGATTAAAAATTCAGTTGCATGAAAATACAAAATAAATTTCAAGAAAAAATAATTACAATTACATTTCGTTAATCTTAGAATTGATTCCATTGTATTATTTCTTGAAAAACGAAAAAAAAAAAACATATGTTTATTATTAATCTTTATTTAATAAATAAATAGTAAATAACCATTCGTATTATTATTAGACAAGAAAAATTTACTAAAAATAATCATAAGTTGAAAACTGATGCTTATTGAAAGTTTATCGAAATCTATGTAGAATTAACTTGATTTAAGTATAAAAATTATTTTTTCTTATGAAAATAATATTGAAATAAAATAGATGAAGAGTTAATTAATTGCCTAATATATATAGATTTTGATTAATATATACCAAAAAAGAAAATTTCTATTCGACGTAGAATATTACTTGCGTTTTCTGTTCCCCCCCCCCCCCCCCTTTATCTGGCTTTTTTCTACATGGTTCCTTTTTACTGAAAAGCAACGACAACTGATTAACTCTACCTATCTATCAGGAGTAAAAATAGTATATGGGCTTTACAGATGGGATGATATCTCTAATCAAATACTTAGTCAAGAAAAAACACTGTATGATTACATATACTCGTATTGGTCGCGATTCTCTCTTCACCTTGAAAGATCACTAGAAGCGACCCAATACCAACATATCTGGACTGCTTTCCAAATAGCTACTATATATGAAAAAACAATGTATAAAGATCTGAGCTTCAGAAAAAATAATTAATAAATATATTAATCGACTATCCCAGAGAACGAAACATAGTAGAAATGATTGGTTATTATTCGAAGTGAATCACAAACCGCAACATAAGATATTCAGAAGGTAAACTTATTACCTAAATATCTTTATTTATAAATACTTTTTACTCTCATCTTAATTGTTAATTGTTATGAGAAAAATCTGAAGCATAATAATTATTAATAAATAGATGTCACTATTTCTCTACTTATGATACCTTTCTAATGATACTGCTAAATACCCTTTTCTTCCTTTCTGTCATTCAAAGTATTACTTTTCTTATCTATTCGTATTTGTTTCTATTTGATTGACTTGAAT